ACCTTTGAAAAGCAGCAGTCTCTGAACTCACTGCACTGACATTTCCCACAACAAACTGCTCTGCGGAGGCCTATAGCCGCTCTGACATTCAGTGTGTGTGTGTGGGTTATGTGGGCCATATGGCGCTCTATAGCACTCTGAAGAAGGGGACTAGCTGTTTAAATGCTGTCAGACACACTCACGCACCCCTGAGCACTTCCACCGGGAGTGCACACGTGTGGAGTATCTGGACCGCTACACAAGAAGGTGACACGCCTGGGAGAATCACACAGCGAAGGCTTTTTTCATCAAAGTCGTAACATTTGACCTCTGACCCTTTTAATGCTCCTGTGAGATAAACCCGCCACCTCTGCGAACATTTAATCTCTGAGCTCTCCCCTTCCTCTAACACGGGTAACGCCGGCCTATTTATAGCATGCCACGGTGAAGACACATCCGACAAATTTCAAGTCATGACACTTTCGCAAAAAAAATTAAATACTTTTTTATAACTATTGCGGCATATTGCGCCATTAGCCTACTTTATGGCTCAGTTTCTCGCCCGTCATATTTGAGATATACTGCCCTAACGAAAGCCATCTTTAATAATTCCATACTCTCATTTTTCTTCATAGTAAAATGGTAGTGACACACAAAGGAAATCCCATGCATTGGGATTTTTTTTTTTTGCGTGCTCATGCGTTACAATCGAACCACTTTACTTTTTGTTTATCGACCATTTTTCTTTTACTAAAGAGGCTATACACTCACCTAAAGGATTATTAGGAACACCATACTTATACTGTGTTTGACCCCCTTTCGCCTTCAGAACTGCCTTAATTCTACGTGGCATTGATTCAACAAGGTGCTGAAAGCATTCTTTAGAAATGTTGGCCCATATTGATAGGATAGCATCTTGCAGTTGATGGAGATTTGTGGGATGCACATCCAGGGCACGAAGCTCCCGTTCCACCACATCCCAAAGATGCTCTATTGGGTTGAGATCTGGTGACTGTGGGGGCCATTTTAGTACAGTGAACTCATTTTCATGTTCAAGAAACCAATTTGAAATGAACTTTGTGACATGGTGCATTATCCTGCTGGAAGTAGCCATCAGAGGATGAGTACATGGTGGCCATAAAGGGATGGACATGGTCAGAAACAATGCTCAGGTAGGCCGTGGCTTTTAAACGATGCCCAATTGGCACTAAGGGGCCTAAAGTGTGCCAAGAAAACATCCACCACACCATTACACCACCACCACCAGCCTGCACAGTGGTAACAAGGCATGATGGATCCATGTTCTCATTCTGTTAACGCCAAATTCTGACTCTACCATCTGAATGTCTCAACAGAGATCGAGACTCATCAGACCAGGCAACATTTTTCCAGTCTTCAACTGTCCAATTTTGGTGAGCTCTTGCAAATTGTAGCCTCTTTTTCCTATTTGTAGTGGAGATGAGTGGTACCCGGTGGGGTCTTCTGCTGTTGTAGCCCATCCGGCTCAAGGTTGTGCGTGTTGTGGCGTCACAAATGCTTTGCTGCATACCTCGGTTGTAACGAGTGGTTATTTCAGTCAAAGTCGCTCTTCTATCAGCTTGAATCAGTCGGCCCATTCTCATCTGACCTCTAGCATCAACAAGGCATTTTCGCCCACAGGACTGCCGCATACTGGATGTTTTTCCCTTTTCACACCATTTTTTGTAAACCCTAGAAATGGTTGTGCGTGAAAATCCCAGTAACTGAGCAGATTGTGAAATACTCAGACCGGCCCGGCTGGCACCAACAACCATGCCACGCTCAAAATTGCTTAAATCACCTTTCTTTCCCATTCTGACATTCAGTTTGGAGTTCAGGAGATTGTCTTGACCAGGACCACACCCCTAAATGCATTGAAGCAACTGCCATGTGATTGGTTGATTAGATAATTGCATTAATGAGAAATTGAACAGGTGTTCCTAATAATCCTTTAGGTGAGTGTAGTTTCTCGTAAGCACACAAAATGTGTCTCATGCGCACGCGGAAGTCTGTTAAAGTTCTGCAAAAGTTTTTTAAACCAAAAGAAATCGTAAAAATATTTTTTATAAAAAATTAACCTGAAATAAAATATAAACGGAAAACGGAAAACTCAAACTTAAAAATGTAAATGTAAATTAGAAATGACGCTTACCTTAGTAAGTATAATGTAACTACGTCACTTAAAATAAAGTGTAACCAAAGCCTATAAAACTACTTTAGACACAAAAAAGACAAAAGAACAAAAAAACTAAAAAAAACGTAACCATAAAATAAAAGCAAATTCAAATATGAATAAATACTTGGCCTGTTGTTGCTTTGATATAGTTATATATACAGTAGTATACACATGGTAAATCACCTCTGGATCACTGTATATTCTATGATCAAAAGAAATGCTGGTTTACATATCCCTGGATTACATATTACAAGATCAAAGATGCACCAGGATGAGGTATGAGGAAATCTACAGCTCAGTAACGCACAGACGATGTTTTATGAATCAAAGAACACCGAAACCTGCCGTATAATGAAGTACATGTAGGCTTGTCGAAAGACTCCTCAATAATTAGTCAATGTCGTTTGAGCTCTTAAAGCATTTGAGCTCAGGAAGAAGCCTCAACTGACATTAATCTTAAATGAGTATGTTCCAAATATTGATCTGATACCTGGCCTGTGTGTCTTTGATATAGTTTTAAGTATACACATGGGTAAACCTCTGGAGACAGGACAGTAGTGGTCAGAGTGTGATGAAGTCCACCTGAAGATTACTGTGACATGTCATTACTGCCATAAATCCAGCATCGTGTCTTTTTCGCTCTGTTCACACCGCAAGTCAAGTGTGGAGTGCCAATGCTCATTTTCTGCTCAAATTCTATTCAATTGTTATTGTGAGGTTGTTCATGTGACCCATATCAAAAACAGTGGTCAAAACTAAACACACTAAAAATCGTACTTTAAATCATATAGCTCAATTTGTGCAATATACATGCAGTATATGCTAAAATAAATGAAAAATAAACCAAAAATATTATATTGCCATTAAATTAAACTTAATAATCAGAATTTAATTAATTATTGTATAATTCATTCTTCCTGATTATACAGTATATAATTATTTAAAAATACAACAATTTAAAATGAACAACTGTAGTTATGCTGTACACTGTAAAAAAAAAAGTAAATGTACAGGTAATGGTCTGTATTTTTTTTACAGAATTTTGCCGTTTTGTCATTATACAGTGAATGCCTGTTATTTTACAGATATTTGCTGTAATTTAAAGGTCCACTATTGAATTTACAGGTAATTGCTTGTATTTTGGTTTTACATCAATTTTACGTTTTTTTTTTAAATGAAATTGTCTGTATTTTTACAGGGTTATGTGTAATTTTACATAAAATATTCCATAATATTTTACAGATTTTTTCTGTTAAATTAGAAAACAAAGAAAAGAAGGTATAACTGCAGAAATCAGTCATTTAACATGTTTTCCTTGAAGATGTGGGTGTTAAAGTGAGTTTTAAGGTTAAATAATAGTATTTCCGTACTATATAATAACTGTGATAGATCTAATGGTGCATTTAATGTAATTTAACTGTAAAATACCATTCAATTTACAGTTTTTGAAAGTGAAAAAGAACAACTCATTGTATAATTTACAGTGTAAAAAAACATAAATTGACATTCCCACAATTCCCAGCGTGACACTTCACATTTGATGTGTTTTTGTTGAAATAACTATGTTTCTTTATAGTTTTCTTAGTTTTTTCCGAATGAGTAATGTATATTAGGGTTTTATGTTACATTTAATGTTGTTAAACTAATGTTTATTGCATTTTTAAAATTTCATGTGTTACCACGATGGTGTTTAATGTTTGTGCGAATGATACTGTGCAGTTTCTATATATTAGTATTACTACTCTTTTGAGGAAGAGCTGCTTGTGATGAGCCAGCCTGCTCTCAAGGCAATTCGTATGAATTCATACGGTTTTTGCTAATTCGTGCATATTTTACAAGTCACCAAATTCGTATGAAATCGTATGAATGACCTATCCCTGACCCCGCCCCTAAACCTACCCATCACGTTGGTTTAGACAAATCGTACAAACTTGTACGAGTGAGGTCGTACGAATTAGCCACCTTTTAATCTCTTGTAAGAATTGGTCGTGAGATAGCGCTGAATGAGCTTTGAATGATCATGTGACTCTCATCACCACTGTGGTTGTTGGTTGACAGTGTATTACAATGGTACAAAACAGATATTAATACTTCAATAGGTAAGTAAATTAACATTATATCAGATAATGAAAGATATTTTTGTGTAGAATAACAGTAATAAACCATAATTATAGGATAAGAAATTACCATTTTTTTACATTTTTTTTCCTGACAGTATTTTTCCGTTTTTTAACAGACATTTTCTGGCGCCCCAGCTGCCAGAATATTTCCGTTTTTTTACGAGTTGGTTTTTAACTGGTATTTCACGGTATTTTTCTGGCGCCCCAGCTGCCAAAATATTTCCGTTTTTTCACTTTTTCTTTTCTAACAGTGTACTTATTCTTTTACTGCATTCTAAATTGGCTGTTTCAAAAAACATGAACATGTTTTATGTTAACACCCACTAATTATGAGTCAGAATGTCCTTCACAAGACTGTGGTGTTCATAAGACCTTCTCTGGTACACAGTGACAACTGACCCTGTCATACAACATGAAATGTTTCCTTGCCAGAGAATATTGCGAGATAAAGGAGTGATTCATTAGCGAGAAGGCCCGCTTCTCTCTTTTGGGCTTTCAAAGCTGCCCCCTACATTACCCTGAACGATTTCCAATGCAGCAAATCTCCAAGTCCAGCTCATGCGGACCTACACAAACTCTTTGGTTCGATACAGAGAGGTGAGCACTGACCTACATTGTGAATAAGCTCTCGCGTTCAGATAGACACACAAAGGCACTCTGAGAGATGCCCTTTACACTGACAGCAGACAAAACACACACAAACTTACTTCAGCGCCTGATTGCTGTAGTTGTTGTCGTACGAGTCATATCCCTGGTCATCGTAGGCCGTTCCATATCCATCATCGTATTCCTACAGGGAAGAAAATATATGCTGTAAATATCCAGATGATTTTTATTTTTATTTTTTTGCAATATAAAGCTTTTTTTAAACAACAGAACAAAATTTGAGGTGTTTTGTTCCAGAAAAAAAACAGTTTTTTTTTTTTTTTTTTTTTTTTGTGAATGATTCTGTTTTAGTTTTAGTTGAATACGTTATTCAATGATTCATTCAGAAACACATTAACTTGTTTTGGTCTTGAATGAATCAGTTTTTTTAAATGAATTGGTTGACTGAATGATTCAAAGACTCAATCATAAAGACAGTCACTGCTTTGTTCATGAATTAATCAGTGTTTTGAACAAATTGGTCGATTAAAATATTCTATGACTCACCCATAAAGAGAGTCACTGCTTTTGTTCATGAATGAATCAGTGTTTTGAACACATCAGTTGACTGTAAGATTCAAAGTCTCACTCATAATTTATATGTAGAGTGTCACCTGTTTTGATGATGAATAAATACGTTAAAAGAGATTCCATGACTCACTCATAAAGACAGTAAATAGCTTCATTCAATTGAATTCCCTTTTATTACAATTGCATAAAATACAATGAAATTGGTTCATTTTCTGAATGAATCAGTGTTTTGAATCAATCACTTAACTGATAGATTCAAAGACTCACTCATAAAGAGTCACTTGTTTTGTTCATGAATGAATCAGTGTTGGATGAATGAAAGATTTTATGACTCACTCATAAAGACAGTAAATAGTTGCATTCCTGAATGAATCAGTGCTTTGAACGAATTGGTTGAATTAATGATTCAAGGACTTTTATAAAGACACTACAGTAAATAGTTTCATAATAGTTTTCAGTCAGTATTTTCTCAACAACTTTTAGTACAGTGAGACATTGTACAGTGTTTATTTCAGTACATTGTTATGAACAAATTGGTTGACTGAATGATTCAATGACTCACTCTTACAGACAGTCACTTATGCTAAAACATGATTTTGACTTCATTTCTGTGGAGTTTCAGTTCAGAAATGGTCTGGGGAGAGAGCTTTGTATTTTGAGCGTTAGTGTGTCTACGTAGTACATTACACACTTTTTTTAAAAGAGCAAGAAAAATCCTGTTTTCCTTGATATGAACACTTGAAGAGATAAATGCATGTATAATGCAGCACTGCAGGCCGGAGTCTGGAGCGGCGAACAGTCTCCACAGGACATGCTGCATTTCATGAGGGTCAAGAGATCTGCTCTAATGATGAAGCATTTCGAGCCGTCCTGGATCCACACACACTCACTCATACACTCCCAAACTCTGCTTAGAGGTTAATCTACTCTGCTGAACCCCAGTCGACATTAATACTCCATATCTAGAGCAGAAATAGCAGAGAGCCACGCATGAAAACTGAAAAGCAGCTCTTCACTTAAAATGAAAGGTTGTGAAAGTGCTTCATTAAGTCGAGGGGCTGATATGGTTTTGACACTGTAATTAACATCGCATAATAACCATTTAAGAGTTGATAATGAAACTTCATGGGGGTTAATATCTAATGTAGCTATTATTGTGACATATCACAGATTGCTTTGTGGCCTGTTGTCAGATGTGGCAAAGCCCTGTTTGATATGTTTATGATGACTAATGAAGCGTGTCAAGTGTCAGGAGAGGTCATAAGAACAAGCTGGAAATGGAGTTGTGTCACAGACTTTGCACCTTTTTTCCCACATTTACCATGCCGATTGTGGGGGGAAAACTTGCTAAATAGATTAAAATATTGTAAAATGTGTTAAAGAGAGCTGAGAGAACCCCATTATTAAGTGTTTACATACAGTAGACGATCATACACAATTAAGCTTAAAGTCATGTAAATGCATGCAAACATTATCAGAACCTAAACCTCTGGGTAGGAGAGGATCCCTCTTGTCCTTTGTGTTCATCACCTGCCACATTAAGGCACATTTTGACAGGATGTAAGGTGGCTCTTAGCCAAGGTCGGTTTACTTGGCGCCATGACCAAGTATTGCGATGTTTGGCTTTAGCATTGGAAGGCAAGCGTAGTATGACCAATAAGTTGCCGCCTGTTCTAGCAAAACATTACACGCAGAAGACAATATTCCTCCGCCCAGGCGAGCAACCACCAAGAAAAGGTGTTAACACCAATTCTCGCCCAGGACAACTGGAAGCTGCTGGGGACTGGAAGATGCTGGCTGATCTTGATCAACGGCTTATTTTTCCACCTGAGATTGCCACCACTAACCTACGACCAGATATTGTTTTGTGGTCTGGATCAGCACGCATTGTTCAACTGATAGAGTTAACAGTGCCATGGGAGGATGCTGTAGATGAGGCATATGAGAGGAAGAAACTGCGGTATGCTCATCTGGCCACTGAAGCAGAACAGCGAGGATGGAGAGTTCAGGTTTATCCAGTGGAAGTGGGTTGTCGAGGTTTTGTGGCACACTCTACAACCCGGTTCCTCAGAGACGTCGGATTCAGTGGCCAAGAGTTGCGTCGCACAGTAAAGAACTTATCTGAAGCAGCAGAAAGGAGCAGCAACTGGCTGTGGTTGAGACGGAAAGGTTCTGGCTGGGTGTGTACAGGCCGCCACGCTACGGTTTCGTAGAATTATTATTATTTATTTGTATAGGTTGTATAGTATTTACAGTCATTACGTTCCTGTGTATATTGCGTGAATGACGGGTGGTTGGGCAGATATTGTGTTTTGCGGTAGGTGGTATGCCATACGGAACCGTTGCCACTGAAACTGCATATTAACGCACCAGTGGGGCTCGACAGCCTTAGTCAAACGGGTTGGCGCGTATGGTTGGGTTGCGGAGAGATTGTGAGATTGTGGTTAGGTCTCAGCAGCAGGAGGGATGTAGAGGTCAGTAAGCTGGGCTGAGTTGAGTGGGGGACGGAGGGGGGTGACTCTGGGACGCCAGAGTCACTGTCGAGCCCTCTTGAGGTGTCGTGGACTAGTCGACGAAACACTGAGGACGGAAGGTGCCCACTTGAAGACCCTAGAGATGTCCCCTACTCGGCTCAATCCAGACGGTTGTCGTGCTGGTCCACTAGGGAGACCACACTGTTCTGTAGTTGCACCCGTCGTGTGTACTGACACGCCAAGTACACTGCAGCCGTTAACGCCGGACAGAAGGGGAGTCACACCACCATATGGAAAGAAGCGTAAATGGATGGAGAAGCATAGTTTACTGTAAAGCTACGTCTTAGTGTTGCTTATCTTGGCGAAAGTCGAGTACAAATCAGCATGAAGTTTTAACATCTACTCTCGTGTAATGGAAATCATCAGATAAATCAACATGAAATAAGATTTTAGTCTCTTGTGCTCACCTAGGCTGCATTTATTTGATTAAAAAAAACAGTAATAATGTGAAATATTATTACAATTTTAAATAACTGTTTTCTGTTTAAATATATTTTAAAATGTAATTTATTTTGGTGATGGTAAAGCTGAATTTTCAGCATCATTACAGTCTTCACTCTTCAGTGTCACATGATCCTTCAGAAATCATTCTAATATGATGATTTGCTGCTCAGGAAACATTTCAATGTATTAATTTCTTTAAAAACTTCTGAATGGTAGTGTACATGTAACTGGTCTAATTGTAAACAATATTTTGCATGTTTTCGTCATTTTTCATGAATAACTTCCGCCTCTGAAACAAGTTAGCTTTGCAGATGATGTCATCAAGCCCCTCCCTTCTAACCACTTGCAGTTTTCACCATCCAATCAACATCCTGATGCCTAAAATCAAGTCCGCGTTAAATTTCGTATGAATATTACGTTTCATTCAGAAATATGCCACATAGCAGATTACAAATGTTGATTTCAAGCAAAACTCAACGCACCTACATTGTCAAATTCTCTAAAATATTCTCACAGAAGTCAAACATCAAAGTCCTGCTCTTCTCCTGCTAATTTAGGATAAACGTCCTCCACAAAAAGGCTCCGACCCCTTGTGACTGCTCCAACATATCCGGGCCCAGCTCAGTTCCAAATCCATCTGCCCTCAATTCACATTCGTAAAATCCTCCTCAACTCCGAAAACAAAGACAAAACCGCTCTCATCACACACCCCGCAGTCTTAGAGAGGCATTACTGTCCGATCAGAGGCCCGCCGCTGCCAAAGCACACTATTCACAGTTTCATTTTTAATCCATCTTTAAAGTGACATTTAAACTGACTTTTATAATGAAGTTTACTTGCACAAAATAAAGAGAGAAGTTTTGCTTCTGATGGCATTAGCATTGGCAAACAGACTGCATTATCATAATAATTTAGATTTATTATTTTGGGAGACACTTTTTTATTTAATGCAGAGTACATTTAAGAAGGGGGTTCTCAACTTGGTTTGACCATGGGACCCACATTTTCCCATGGTCATTAAGCTGCGACCCAATTTAATTTAAGGAATTTAAATATGTATATATATATATATACAGTATATATATACATACAGTGCATGTACAGTATAAATACAGTACTATATATATATATAAAATTTGCCCATAAAATTACAATACATTTGCTTTTAAAAACCAAGGAAATTTATTACACAAAACTGCTTGACACAGGGTGACATTTGACGAATAAACAGTATAAGGTAATGCTACTAAGTCCCAAACTAGTTTCTGTTTATCAATAAAGTTGGCATGAGCCACCATAGTCATTTAATGCTCCTAATTTCTATTGTGCATTATTTATAATGAGTATTATATGAGTAGGTGAAACTCGAAAAATTAGAATATCGTGCAAAAGTTCATTTATTTCAGTAATTCAACTTGAAAGGCGAAACTAATATAATATATAGACTCATTACATGCAAAGTGAGATATTTCAAGCCTTTATTTGTTATCATTTTGATGATTATGGCTTACAGCTTATGAAAGCCCCAAATTCAAAATTAGAATATTGTGAAAAGGTTTGCATAAAGGCTTGAAATATCTCACTTTGCATGTAATGAGTCTATATAATATATTAGTTTCACCTTTTAAAGGTGCTC